CAGTGGTGTGGTCTAACCAGGCCTCCAAGGACCCTTCTCCAGGGCTGGCAGCTCCCTCCGGGAACAAACACCCAGGCACTATCCTTCACCTTCTCAGGCAAAGTGGATCACCTGACTCACGGATCAGAGCCAGCACAGCCCTGGCTGATTCATATGCAGAGTACCGGCCACACTGGCCATCTGCCCCTGTTGCTCTAGCAAGTGGAACTCTGGACCTAGAAACTCCTCATCCGACCTCTAGGGCACAAAGTCCATGTTCAAGGAGCCTTTGGTGCCTGGGATTTCCCTGGAGACCAAAGCATAGCTGACTTCCGGTCGAGCCTGATCAGGGCCACAGCAGCATGACCGTTCTCTTCTTGGAACACGGGCCGTGAGGGACCGCACCAACCAGAAGATAGTGGATTTCATCGTGAAGACCAAGGGCACCGACGGCCACTTGCTGGACATTGTGCAGGGCAGGAAGCCATCTCGCTGGCTGGAGGCCTTCTTGCAAGAGCGCAGGTACCTCGTCTGCGTGGAGACCTACCTGGAGGACGACGACCAGCTGCTCCTCGTGGCCCGACACCTACAGCGCCTCTTTGAGCGCACTGAGGAGCCCATGCTGGCTCTGCGTGCAGTGGACAAGGTGAGGCTGGTGATGGAGGTGCTGCTACCAGAGGCTGTGATCTGCTCCATCGCCACCCTGGAGGGGCTGGACTACCACGGCGCACAGGAAAAGTTTCTGCGTGGGCCCCTGGTGCACCCTCGAGAGAAAGAGCTGTTTGACAGGAAGATCAGGAAGGAGAGGAGGAGGAGATCCGGGGACAGCAAGGAGCTGCTCTGGCACCCCGCCTGAGCCTGTGCACACATCCTAGTGGAGAGCCTGCTCTACTCCTCATCCTCTGGCTTCTCTGTGAGCCCTGGCCCCTGAGTCCTACAAGCCATGCACCCAAGCCCCGTCACCAGGCCAAGGTTCCTCTCCAGGTGCCCTGTGTCCTCACCCCCATGTCCAGCCCCTCACCCTGGGTGGGTCCGCACAGCAACCCAGGTGCGGTTGGCGGCTGCTCTGTGCATAAGCCTGGGTGTGGGAGGAAGGGATGGAGATGCGCGGGCCAGGCTGCATGTGCATCTTACAGCATGTGTCTTTCCTGTTGTCCAATCCCCTTCCCCTTCCCTCCCTCTCCTCCCTCCTCCTCCAGTTCCCCATCCCAGTATTTGTGCTGATATCGGTTGCCTTAGCTCAATGCTTACATTATAATGTTTACATTAATTGGGTTTAGCACGTTCCTGTACATGGCATATCTCTCTGTTCTTCTTACTTCCCCCTGCTCCTTCCTCATCTCTTGCTCTTTGCAATCTCTCTCTCTCTCTCTCTCTCTCTCTCTCTCTCTCTCTCTCTCTCTCTGTCTTTAGACAGGGCCTCACCATGTAGTTAAGACCAGACTTGAACTCACTTTGTAGGCCAGCCTGGCCTCTAACTTGCAGTGGTCTCCTGCCTCAGCTTCCCAAGTGCTGGGGTGAAATCTCAAATGAAGTTATTTTTTCTTCTTTTTGAGACTGGGTCTTGCTATGCAGTCCAGGCTGGACCTGAGCTCACTGTGTAGCCCAGGCTGGTCTTGAACTTGCACTGATTCCCCTGCCTCAGCCTCTGAGTGCTGTGATTGCTGGAGAGTGCCACCACACCTGGCTTAAAATAAGCATTAAATCTTGGAGCTCTGGGTTCAGCACGAAGGCAAGTTGTGGGGAAAGGTGAACTCCAATGACTTGGGCAGCACAATCCCTGGGCTACTGCTTGCAGCAAGTCCCCCGGCTTCTCCTTTGGGTTGGCCTCACTCACTGGCCCTTAGCTTTCTCAGTGGATCTTCCACGTTTCTGCCCTCTCTAGCTCCCTGTATCTCCACAGCACTTTCAGCACCCTCTCAGAGTTTTCTTGCACTGCCCTCTCAGGGGCACATTGCCTGCCTGCCCAGGCCTTCTGAAATCTGGCTGGAAGCCTTCATGACCCCATCACTCTTAAAATCTGCACGTTTGTGCTGGAAATGATTCTTTCTGCTGTAGGCGTACATGAAAATGTCAAGTGGAAGAGTAAGACTCTATCAGAGACTTATGTAAAACTAAGTCGCAGGAAATTCTACCAAGTAAGGGCCCCTTAGCAAAGACAGTGAGAAGTGTCCAGAATTAATAGCATTGTTGGAGGAGGGACAATTTTAAATGTCATAGGAGGCAGGAAGGAGAAAGAGAAAAGGAAAGAAAGAAAGAAAGAAAGAAAGAAAGAAAGAAAGAAAGAAAGAAAGGAAGGAAGGAAGGAAGGAAGGAAGGAAGAAAGGAAGGGTTATCCACACTCTGGCCTGTTACCAAGAATCAAAAGAGGTGAGGGCCAGAAAACATCCATTGAGCATCCTCTTCTCATGGAGAGCCCTCACGGCAGGGCTGTGGGGACATCCTCGCTGCGCTCAGTGCCAAAGAGCAGGTGGGAGGGAAGAAACTGACACCAGAGCGCATTGATTCTCTGTAGAACTTGCATGCTAAGGGAATTTCAGGACTGGGACATTTTCAGTCTCACATGTGCTTCCTTAAATTTGGTGCCACCCCTCTGCTGAAGTGTGACTGGTGTTCAAAGAATGTAAATATTTTAACATATCCCACTTTGTGACTTTGACCACTTGCACACCTGCAGGAAACCATCACCCAGTGTAAGGTAATGAGCAGAGCCACCCTGCCACACAAGCTCAGGGCAGCCATGCTTGGGCGTGGAGATGGCCCATGCTGATGAGGATGAAATGTTGCTGGGTGTCACTAGGCAGGCACCCTGTGGCTAGGACCCATGAAAGCCAGGGGTACAGATACATCAGGGTCTTGGTGGGATGCCCCATGGAATGCTGGGGACCCTCTGGGGTATAAGGGGCCATCCTGCATCCTTCCCTTCTGGCTGGCCCCCTGTCATCTGGGGACAATTGGTTCCCTGGGTCAACATGTTAGCCGGGGGCTAGTGCATCCTTGAGAATTCAGGACAGATGCAGGTGTGGTCATTTCCCATGCAGATGGCTGCAGAGCTCCTGTGTCAACCTCGCCCTACCGTCCTCTCCTACCACCAGCACAGGCTCCTTGGGGTCTGAGGGGTGTGTCCCAGCTTTGCTCCCTACACAGATGCAGCAGCCTTGCAGGTGGGACCCAGGTCAAGGTGCATGGGGAAGGTGGAACTCCGCATCCAGTTCTGGGCAGAAAACAGGGCCAGCAGGGCCTCCAGGCTTACCTTCCTTGTCCCCCCCCACACACACACACTCCAGCGTACAGTCCACAGTTCCATGCCCTGCCTCCCTGAACAAACACCCCTACCTGATGAACCTATATAACATGACCTCATTCCTTTAGTGTGTCTCTGTATTCCACAGAGTCACTAGTTGTGTCTGGCATGGGAAGACCACAGCCATCGTGCCCATGGCAAAAAGCCTGAGCAAATCTGCCCAGGTCAGTGGGGAGGCTTAGGATCTGGAAATCAGTGACATTGAGTATCCGGATAAATGCAGACCCATACCAGAGAACCCTACAAGGATGTGCCCATGCCAGGGCACATCGTGTCTCACACCTTGGTAGGTGGGGCATCTGGGAAGCTCGGGTCCCTGGTCTTTGTTTGAGAGTGCACACGCGGCTGTGTTCCTCAACCCTGATGATGGGCCTGAGGTGCCCCATCTGGAGCTCCCACCCCACGGCATAGATACAGAGCTCCTGCAGCAGCGGTTCGGGACATCTGCAGTCCTGGCCCACCGTGTCTCATCTGGAGGATGAGACACTCTGACTCTCAGCCTGAAAGTCTGGTACACATGCTCCATACAGCGGTCCTAGGCCCCGGGCTCACTTCACCCCACCTACCCGGAAAACATGGCAGGTGTGTCTGCTGCACAAACCTTCTCTCAGCACAGAGCCCCCGAATGTCCATTAGGAAGACATTTTCATGATAAATGACAAAAATGGCACACTTCATTTGACCGTGGTTCTGTTTTTCTCCTCCATGTAGCAACAATTTAGAAAAGGATTGCACTTGGGAGGACAGTCCTTTTGCAGGATTAGCTGAGCAAGCTGTGGGATGATGTCATTAATCAGGGTAACCTCGGAGTGCAGTGTTAGCTAACACAAAAAGTCAAGGAGGGCTCTTCTGACAAGTATTCTTTGTAAATCACTGTGCAAGTCTTTCTTTCCAAACAAACATAGTCTTTGTGTGTTTATTTTAAACTTTTGTTTAACCTTTGCAGAAGGACAATGGAATAAAGACCTCATAAGCACTTGGAAATATATCTTATCGGATATTTGTACTTTAAATACTCTTTTGAACCACACGATTTGTACATTAGGTGTTCAACGGTGGCCTAAAGTACACTTTAACGATTTGCTCTGCTATAGAGAACGTTGTGTGTGTTGTCATTGTCATTTGATCACATGAGTTTCCTTAGTTATCTTTAATTTGTTGATGTGAGCAGTGAGAATGATTCTAAAGGAAGGGAGGTGAGTGTGCTCTATCACGTGGAGAAACTTACCGTGTGTGCAATATTAGGTGAAAGTAGGTGAAAGATGTTTGAATTTTGAAATATGTGCAGACTAAGTTTTATGTCCATTTTAACATCAGTATTTGCATTTTATTAATCAGGTTTATAGTTTCTAAAGTCGTGTTCTCTAGACTGGCAGTGCTCCAGTGTCCTCTAATCTAACTATTAGTATTATTTCAGGAATAAATCATAGAGTAGCAAACTTCAATTCAACATTTTATCTCATGAGAGAGGTATACTTGGATCCAAAATTCCTAAATTTCATATTTGCTTGTTGATAGCAAATTTTGTTGGGACCTGCGTGCTATGTCTGCGTCACAGGGGAGAGCACAGTGTGTCATCATCCTCTTATACTCCTTCCCCTGACACCTAGGTTGGCAAAACTCCCAGACCTAATGCCAATGCCAGGGAAATTTGGCAGTGGTGCCGCCCCCAGTCCTTCCTTCATTCATTGGAAAGAGTCGGTTGGACCTGCCTGAGGTGATTGGAGGACCATTCCTCCGAGTGTGCATTAGTACTTATTGGTTTCCATGGAAACCTAGCATCAAGGAGAGCTTTCAGATGACGTTTGTTTCTATGACAACCAGGACAAGCCACTCTTTCCTTCCTGGTGGCAGATGCATTCCCCAAGAACCCTGGCTGATTGAAGAAATGGAATGACTGTAGAAACCTCAGCACAAGTAGGTGCCTAACATCAACACACATGTGCATGTGTATGTGCTTGTGTGTGTGTGTGTGTGTGTGTGTGTGTGTGAGTGTGTGTGTGTGATCTTTATGAGATATTAAAGGCTCATGTCACTCCTGGCTGTGAGAAAGGCCGCTGGTTCCTGATGAAAGGCAGATTGAGGAGATGGTATAAGGCATTGTGTCCCCAGTCTCATCTTGCCCTAAAGCGACACCTGTTGTGTGTAGAGCTGTCATCTGAGTGTGTAAAGCTGAGATCCCAAAGTGTTTCTGAATTGATGCCTCTGTATCACAACTCCATTCCTGCTCCCTTAAGGATGTCACTTTACTCACGGCACAACTCCTGGTTGCTGGAGATTGTCATGTGTTCTTCAGGGAGACACAGATGAAGGTAGTGAACAGCAGCATACACGGGCAAGATTGGAGACCCCAGGCAAGGGCATGCAGCCAAGGCACAGCACAGATCTCATCCTGGGCAGGGAACCTGAGGCCTCAGGGGCCTGCTCTCCTGATGTGAGTGCATTGAGGTAAACTGAGGAGATGACAGGATGTCAGAAGCCTCTCTGGGAAGGACTTGAGCTCTTCCAGGGCAAGTGTGGGAGTGCATACTGGCCTTGGGCCTTCTACTGTGCTCTCTGCAGTGTCACAGTCTTTCCTGCCCATGCCGCGAGGTCCCTGCCCCCATTCATGCATCAGGAAGGAGCAGGTCCCAGCTATGTGACATGGGCCTCTCTCAGTCCACCCCCAGTGCTCTCCCTTACTCTGAGTCAGAGGCGCTACCAGCTCCACTGATACTGCCAGAAATTAGTGAGTTCTCACCCACAGGCCTCTGTCCGGATACCCCTATGCATGTGTCTCTGTCTCCACATGTGTCCCTGTCCCCTGTTTTTCTGCATCCCCCATCTTCCCCCTGCCACACTGTCTGCTTCCTAGACACACTATGCACAGAGCCCACCTGCAGAGGCAGCACTTGAGACCTCACTGGAAGGTGTGTGGACAGTGGCCCACAGCATGCTGCAGAGGAACCCTGAGCCACGAGGTGGGACATGGAATATGCTGTCTGGCTCACTCTCCCCGGCGGGCAGAGGTGCCACTGCAGTCTGAGAGCCAGTTCCCAAAGCAAGGTCCTCTGGCTGCCTGGGGAAAGTCCCCTGCTAAGTGGTGTCACGCTGAAAACACATGGCCCAAGGCTCAACTAGAGCTGGTCCTCTCCTGCATGTCCTCTCCTACAGGTGCAAGCATTCTTTGAGATTTGTCGTATTGGATAACAGAATCAGAAACTCAAGAGAACTGAAACTCGCGGGCATGGCTGATGCTAAACACTTCTGGGGAAGTGTGGAGCCCACGAGCAGGCATGAGGCGCACACGCTCCAGGTGTCTGCAGTCTCAAAGCCCAATCCATGTGTGTCTGGACTCTGTGGGGAGGGAGGACATGAAGCGTCCCGTGCGTGTTTCCTGAGATGCACCAGCAGGTCCAGGCGAGGGGTCAGTGCACCTAGCAGTCCTCTCCCTGTGTTCTGTGTCCTCAGGTGACTCCTGCATGCTGCAGTGCTGGGGGCTGCGCTTCCTTACTCAGAAGCCAGTGAGCCTGTGACACACACAGCCTCCTCTGAGAAGGCTTCTTGCAGGTTGCCCCCAAGAGGGTCTATTTCTGCCAGCACAGCTGTATCAGTTAGGGCTTACTAGAGGCACAGATTGAATATTCTGAGTGTATAAGGAGTTACAAAGCAGGCTTCCAACGAGCTGAAGAACCAGGTTGGGGGAGGATGCAAAATGAAGAGTCGGAGGAGCCAGTCAAAGGAAGAAGGCCCGGAGCTCACTGCAAAAGCTGCTGAGATTCTGTGTCGGGAAACCGAAAAGTCTGCCTGGACAGCTGAAGGAACCAGAATGAACATCTGAAGGTGTTGGCAAAGACTAGCACTCCCCTGGAGAAGAAAAGGGAAGCCGCCTTTCTTCTTCCTCTTCCTGTTCCTTGCAGTCTACAGGCTGGTGCCACCCCATCAGGGATGGGTCTTGCTTCCTCGATTGTGGCTTACATGTCAAGCGTGCTGACTCGCCCAGAGCTCTACTCATCTGCTGGGAGGTTTTTACTCAGGTTGCCCCGTCGCAGTTAATGACAACAGAAATTGAAAATATGTGTTTATGCATTTTGCCAAAGCTAATGAATCATGAAACTTGACTAGTTTTTTGCATGAGACAAAATATAGACAGAAGTTATAATAGAGATGTACGAGGAATGGAAAAACTGAAAAGCCTCCAGGGACTATTTAAAGATGGAGGAGTGGGAGAATAAGCTCTCAGGGGATGGAGGCGTGACCACCCTGCGCAGTTTATGACGTTGGAAAATCACTCAATGGATAGATAACATTTCCAAACACAGGAAACCAACCTGCAAGCACGTGCACAAATATGCTGTAAGGGATCGGGCATTTCTGAGAAGCAGCGTCCCAGTATGCTCCTGTGTGAGGAACTCTGCTTTCACACATCCTGTGGATGAGGGAGATCAGGGTGCTGGGAACGCAGGCACCGTCAGACTCAGAGTGAGCAGCTGTCACACGCTGCCTGCTTCTCATACCTTTCACAACACTTCACATTCTTCATAAACCTGAGAAGCTTTGTCTGACAATCAGATTCACCCCAACCCTGTTTCGCCTCAAGATGACTAGTTGCTAAGAACTCCACATGTCCAAGACTGAGGTTGTCACAAAAGGTGCAGTCCCGTCTGTCTTGGCCCAGAGGGGATTAGCATCCACTAGGAACCAGCCGGTGCAAATCTTTTGAAATGCCAAAGACAGAACTGAATGAAATTGGCAGCCAGGCTATGGGTGAGATTAGGCTCTCACCTGTATCCAAAGCCTTGCATTCTGCAAAGGGGACTGGGGAAGTGATACATAAGCCACCACCCAAATGGCCCATATTCCCGTATCTCAGGCTTTCCAGGTGACCATTGGGCCAGGGTCTCTCCTCTGGGGACCCTATGGTCCCCAGAAGAGGAGTGCACCTCAGAGGCAGCAGGTAGGGTGAAGAGTGCAGACACCCAGCTGGGAACCCAACCTCCAGCACCCTCTTGGCACTGGGCCAGCCCTTCCCATCTGGAAAGTATTTCTTGCAACAATTTAGTGTTGATATTTATGAGCATAGTTGTCTGGGCGTCTCCCTGTGCTGGCAGGGGTTTCCACGTAAGAATCAAGGATCTGATATCAGAAACAAACACTTTAAGCCAGGAAATATAAGCACAGACCATGGCCAGTGAGCGGCACCTGCCAGCATCCTTACTAACCACAGTAGCTATGAATCAATCACCTGGATGACCTCAGAGCAACCCTGGATTCCAGGTGCAAGATCCTGACCAGGACACCACACTGACATCTAGTTCCTGCAGGGAGTAGGTCACTCAGACATCCTGGGGTACATGTGCAAGGCAGCACTTCGTCAGAAAGGAAACAATGAATTGTTCTGCTCTCCACCTGGAAAGCCTGAGAAACCCACAGGCACCCCATGGACCACAAAATAACCTCGCCCCTAAAGGACACCCACGGCTGCACACAGGTGCTCTGCAATGCCGAGTACCCACGTTTGGAAGACTTGCATTTACACCATGACACAGCTCCTCCGGCACCTGCCCTGTGCTTCCCCTAAGCGCATGCCATTCGGGTGGTCCCTACGCGGAACGCATGCTCCGTATGTCTGTATTTTCTCTGTCTTCATTCTCACCAGCAGGGTGTTTGTCATCCACTGAAGGAATTTTCTTCTCTGATACACCTGTGCTCTCCTCTTCCATCCCCCAGTGCATGCACGTCCAGCACACCGCTGAAAACCCAAGTGCAAACATCTCCATGAGACTCGGGGAGGAGGCTGGCCTGTGGCGGTGGTGGCAGCGGAGGGTCCACTGCAGCCATGAGGCCAAGAACATGGGACAAGCACAGTGGAAAGAACGACTGGCCACAAGGGACAAGTAGGTGTGACAGCCAGGTGCCCTGCCTCTCTTTAATCACTTCTGACATCTAATACTTGCTGTGCAGCAGGACAGAACATGTGCGGCCAGACAATGTCTTGTCCTGAACTGCGACTTTTGAAACAAAGAAGCGGAAAAGGACCTTTTCTGTAGACACCCTAATCTTCTCTGTAGGTGAGAAAGTTAAAGAGCACAGCCATGAAACTACTAAGGATGTTTGAAATGGAAGCCATGGTGCCCCCAGGAGGGGTAGAGTGGAAAGTCCCAGCCCACCCAGGCAAGGAAACAGGGGAAAGGAGAGTCCTTAGGAAGTCCCTGGAGATCCTAGAGGAAATCCCACCACGGGGTGAGGGAAGTCATGGCCATGCACAAGGGGTCCCCACCTCCAAGGAGCCTCAGAAGGTTCCTGGAGAGCAAGCCACCCCACACTCTCCCCAAAAGCAAGCGAGACACAAAGGGGGCTCCCAGGCCCGGCGTAGGAGAAGGGGACACTCAGGGTCCTTGCCAGTGCCTTGGGGGAAGGAGGCTCCCCTGAGCAGGGAGACAGGCCAGGGGCACAAGGCCATGGCGCCTGCTCCCCCTGGGAGGCGAGGACCCACCCTTCCCAGCAGTACCAGCAGTAGCATCGTGAGTGCGAGCCCACAGGCCCTGGCAGCTTTTGGAATTGGGGCTCAGCACCAGGGCCTGGGAAAGCTGGACATGATGGCCATCGTATCCCTGTGTCGCCTAGACATCAAGCGAGGCCAATGCACACTCGGGGTGCAGTGTGCTCCATCCCGGCCTGCAGGAGTCATGCCCCCTACAGCCAGAGGGCTGAGCACAGAGGCCCAGAACACCAGCCCAGGGCCCCAGGCTGCAGCTTCCTCCCCTGGCCACACCTTCCCGTGCAGTATGCAGGACCCTGGCCTGGGAGCCTCCCCAAAACTAGGGTGGGAAGGGGTGACTGCGTCCTCCACATCCCCTGACCCAGCGCTGCAAGGCTCGCTGCGAGTCCTGCAGAGGAAAAGGAAGCTCCAGGCAGCAGGCCAGGAGGAAGGCCCGCCAGCTCCTGGGTCCACAAGGCCCTCACAGGCTGTCACCCAGCCTCAGCCCCAGCTCCAGCACCAGCACCAAAGAGCCAGCCCCACACCCCAGGGGCAGGCCACCAGCCTGGGCTCTACCTGCGCCCCCGCTACCATCGCCAGAGGCTCCGTGGTGTGGTACAAATGCGCGGAGCACCCCTTTTGGCCGGCAGTGGTCACCAGTGTCAGCCTCAGCCGGCAGATGGCCAGGGTGCTCTTGATCGAGGCCAACCTGTGCGGGGAGCGCAGCGGCATCCGGGTGCCTCTTGGCAGGCTGAAGCCCCTGGACTGTGAGGAGAAAGCAAAGCTGGTGCGCAGAGCCAGCAGGGCCTTCGGGCCCAGCCTCGCCTGGTGCCTCTCCCTGGTGGCCCACTACAGAGAAGGCCTGGCGCGAGGGTCTTTCCGGGGCTCCTTCCTGGAGTACTACGCGGCCGATGCCAGCTACCCCCTCCGCAGGGCTCTGCGAGGGGGACCAGGTCTGCTGCCCCTGTGCTTCCCTGAGGTCCACTACAGCGACCTAGAGGACTCTGAGGAGGAGCAGCAGGAGGAAGAGGACTCGCCACATCCCAACCAGGCTCTGGGTTTGAAGGTGCCCCGCAAGAGGCTGCTGCCCGACCGCACCCGGGCCGTGAGGGACCGCACCAACCAGAAGATAGTGGATTTCATCGTGAAGACCAAGGGCACCGACTGCCACTTGCTGGACATCGTGCAGGGCAGGAAGCCATCTCGCTGGCTGGAGGCCTTCTTGCAAGAGCGCAGGTACCTCGTCTGCGTGGAGACCTACCTGGAGGACGACGACCAGCTGCTCCTCGTGGCCCGACACCTACAGCGCCTCTGTGAGCGCACTGAGGAGCCCATGCTGGCTCTGCGTGCAGTGGACAAGGTGAGGCTGGTGATGGAGGTGCTGCTACCAGAGGCTGTGATCTGCTCCATCGCCACCCTGGAGGGGCTGGACTACCACGGCGCACAGGAAAAGTTTCTGCGTGGGCCCCTGGTGCACCCTCGAGAGAAAGAGCTGTTTGACAGGAAGATCAGGAGAGAGAGGAAGAAGAGATCCAGGGCCAGCGAGGAGCTGCTCTGCACCCCTCCTAAGTCTGCGCCCACACCCTAGTGGGGAACCCTCCTCCTCAGTCCGTGCACAGAGAGGCTGTGCTCACAATAAAAGCTCTGCACCCCTCCCTCACGTGTGTGTGTGTGTTGTACTTGGGGTTGTACCCAGCAAAGGGGAGCACCCAAAATATACGGGTGCCCTCCAGCAGGAGTCCTGGTCAGGGATGGCAGCTGCTCTCATCACTTGGACGGCTCAGTGAAAATTCCCTTCCCATCCTACACCCACCCGAGTTCGCACCCATGAGGTCCACTTGCAGGAATGGCTGTGGGAAGGAACTTCCCCGCCCTGCACGCACCCCCTCCCTGGCTCTGCCCCACACAGAGAGGCTCCCAGGACCCCTGCCTGGACCCTGCATGCCACAGGCTCATGGTCCTGCTCCTCCGCCATATGAACAGAGGACCTTGCTGCTCTATGGGGACCCGGTCCCCACTCCCAACTCCACCCCCACCCCCAGAGCTCATCCTCTGGCTTCTCTGTGAGCCCTGGCCCCTGAATCCTACAAGCCGTGCCACCCCAGACCCCTTCACCAGGCTCACAAGGTTCCTCTCCAGGTGCCCTGTGTCCTTGTCCCATGTCCAGCCCTTCACCCTGGAAGGGTCCGCAGAGCAAGCCAGGTGCGGTTGGAGGCTGTGTCTGTGCAGAAGCAAGGGATGAAGATGCGTGGCCAAGGGGACTCTACCTAGTTCCTCAGGTGCCCAGCTGCACAGGCTGCACCCTCTTTCTGAGAAAGGCCCCGGTGTCATGACCTACGGGGCTGCTCTGAGGCCAGAGCCCCAGTCTCCGCCATATCCCTGATGGGACTGGTGTCTGTTTGTTGGGGGCGGGAGGGGAGCTGGCCTCTCTTGAGTGTCATATACAGCTGAGACCTCTTTTGAGGAGAGGCCTTCATGTCCCTGGTAAGTTCCTCCTCTCCTCCTCTTGGAACCAGGGTAACTTAAAGCATTTGAGTTTTGCAAGTGAATTGGTGGTTGAGTGGGCCTGAGCACTTGCCATGATTGCCTGAGCTGGGTCTCTTTCAGGGGTGTGTGTGTGTGTGTGGGTGGGTGGGTGGGTGTGTGTGTGTGCATGCACATGGACACGTGTGCAGGGAAAGCTAGACTTGTTGCCTGCCCTGAGCCCTGGTATGAAGGAGACCTCTCTTTCTTGGGTCATGGGGTCAACTGATGAACATCTGGCCCCAGTGATTACTGCTGAGTGGAACTGATGCAGGGATACAGCATGCTCGATGTGCACAGGTCTCTATGTCCATGCGTAGAACAAACAAGCTGGGAGGCTGTAGCCCTGAAAACTGGAGCACTGATGAGCATGAGAATTTTGGATGCCTAGAATCCCCCATAGCCCTGCCATGAAACTGGGAATCCCATACAACTCACAACTTGGAAACAACCTTGTTGTTCCTGGAAATCCTGTGAAGTCCTCTTCCAAGGGAGCAAGCTCCTAAAATGGTGGGATGGATTTGGGGGCATGAGCCAACAAGACAAGGGACAGAATACCGCTAAATATGTGGGAGGACTCATTGTCACAGAACACAGAGCCGTGATGAGGTCGCCTTGTGCTGGGGAGGCCTATTTGTACTGATGTTGCATTTTCAAGCATGGACAAAGGCTGAAAGGAAAGGAGATGGTGATACAGTAAGCCCTGGACTTGCGAACAAGTTCCATTCCAGAGCAATTGTTTACAAGTCAGATTCATTGGTAAGTCGACAAAGTAAGTCTTACACGGTGCACCTGTGGAAGTTCACAGCTCAAATGTTTGTAAGTTGGGGACTTATTGTACTGGAATTGTTGTGGCAAAATATTTAGGAATTAGTGAGAAGATCCAGGGCAATGAGGTAGAGCATGAGATACGATTTACTATGTGAGACCAGAGTTCCTACTTCAGAACACTCCTGCCTTGGAGGGCATAAAAGACACTACTAAAACAAGGAATGTGTTCCCTGGCTGTCACTGCCATCTCAGAGAGTCTCCCTGTTGGCTCTTTTTTGAAGACAATGCCTGGAGGTGAGAGCCACTGCACAGAACTGCCAATCAGTGGAGATGGTACGATTCTCAAGTGGCAGAGTCCAGCTGGCGATACAAAACCACCCTGGACAGATGGGCTTCTTTCTCACTCCAGGCAACAAGTCCAAGGTGTGGTCAGGCTCACTTGGCTGCTAAGGATCTGGTGCAAAGTTACAGATAGTCATATTCCAGGGTCCAGACATACTGGCAGCTGACTAGGGCAGTAGTTGCTTTATATAACAGGACAAAATGAAAGCAGGCACATAGGAGGCTGAGGTGAGCATGTGCGGTAGACAGCTGTCCTCACCACCAAGTGTCCAGATCGAAATCACTTCATAGAGCCCAGAGCCTACTGACCAAATTGGAGGTGAGACATAGCCAGCCACACATTCCCTCAGAAAAATCCATGACTGATTACTAAGGTAAATATTCACCATGAAAAGGAGGATACCTACTTTGAAAAGCCTGTTGAATATGAATTTCTCTGCTTAGAAAATGGCTTATGAATTCCAGTTATGAGGGGAGTTGTGTCTCAAATTCATCTCACAGAGTATCCAATTAGTTCTTTGGACCCACTCAGGATACTGCATGTAGGCCATGGTGGGGACCCAGACAAGATTCGCACTCCATCATTTCTAGTGTGTACTGGAAGTTCCTGCCAAAGCAACTAGACAATAAAAACAGATAACAACTATCCCACTTGGAAAACTAAAAGTAAGACTGTTATTGCAGGTGATATGATCTTATACAGAGAAAAGTCTAAAGAATCCACCAAAAAGCTGTTAAAGCTAATAAATGAATTCATTAAAAGGAATTTAAGAAAACAATTCTATTTACAATATCATCAAAAAGAGTAAAACATTTAGGAACAAGTTTAGCCAATGAAATGCAAAACTTATGCACTTAGAACTATAGAACACCTCTGGAAAAATATGACGACAGACCTAAATAAGTAGGAAGAGAACCTATTTTCATGGAAGAAAGACATATTTTGTTAAGACAGACATGCTTTCCAACTGCAGTTCTTACCAACATGCCAATAGCCTTTTTCAGAAATACAAAAGCTGTTCCTCAAATATGGCATTCTAGGGGATTCTGAAATCAAAATAATCTTGAAAGCAAAGAAAAAATATGAAAGATTTCCAATTCCTGATTTAAAAGCCTAGTATGAGGCTACAGCAATCAAGACACTATGGTGTTGCAATGAGTGTACACAGATTGATAGACAGATAGACAGATACTAGATGATGGATGAATGGATGGACATATAGATAGATAGTAGACAGATAGATGATAGATGGATCGATAGATGGATACAGATAGATGATAGATGAATACATAATGGATGGATGGATGACAGATAGATAGATAGATAGATAGATAGATGAAATAGAACAATGGGCAAAAGTGTTTGCATTTATTCCATCTTCGATAAAATTTCATCCTGTTCTCCTGGGGCACTGCGATGGCACTCAGTGCAGCTCTGTGATGCCTGGCACCCCATACTTCACAAGGGCTGCAGGGGAAGAACAGATCTGCCTCTGAGCTGCAGTCAGGAGCCAGTGGTGTCGTGGGAAGTCCCATGCAATTTGGCATCCTACTGATGAGAAAGCTTTGTCCTGTGACAGACTGTCCCGTCCCCTTGCTACCCTATACTATCCCTCACAGTGTCCTTCTGTACCTCTGTTGCTTGTTGTCAACAAAGCAGGACTCTCCCCTGATACCCCAGGATTCTGCATCCCCTGAGGCCTTTTAAAGTGTGTGCTATCATGTCATGTGACTAGGCTTACCCAGATTTTGCACATAAAGATACTGAGGCCCAGTGATATGTGGTATAATAGGCCCCATGGACATGGAAATGTCACTGGCTGTTCATCTGGCCACTCCATGCATAAGCATGACCTCTCCTTATGCAGGCTAAGCTTGAGCCAGACATCAACAGCTCTTGCCCCTCTCCTTACAGTGTACTCATCTAGCTCGACATCAACCTTGCAGATGCAGTGGGGCATTCAAAAAGTGCATGAACTGAGCATGGTTGTGCACACCTGTTAATCCCAGCACTCAGAAGGTTGAGGCAGGAGGATTGCTGCAAATATGAGGCCAACCTGGGCTACAAAGTGAGTTCTAGACCAACCCAAACTGCAAAGTAAATGACAAAAAAAGTGTATGAAAGCCAGGCATGATGATGCATGCACATCATTCTAGCATTCAGGAGGCTGAGACAGGAGGATTTCCAAGAGTTCAAGGCCAGCCTGAGTTACAAAATGAGACTTTGTCTCCCAAAAAAGTGCTTCAATGTAAAATGAGCCCCACTTTTTGTCTTCCTCAGTAATGTGATCTATCTGGCTTCTCCCTGCAAACTGCTACCAGGTCAGGATCACCGAATCATTCTTTTTCTAAGCCATATGAATCATAAAAACGTCCCTATCCCTGACTGGACTCCTCCCAAAAAAGGAAATAATACTTCCAGCTAGTTGTACACCCTCGCTGGGAGAAGGCTAAGGATAAGGCTGTAGCAGCCTGGCAGCCACAGGTTGCTCATAACCCAGAGCATTGCAGGAGGCGCTCAGTACCAGACCCTGTGCTCCGCTGCCTCTGCCCTGGCAGCACTGTTTCCCCTGCAGCTTTTTGGGCAGAGGCTGAACCTTGTGACACATCCTCACACCATGCAGGTGGACTCGGTGCCCTTCCTGTACCCTCCAAGCACTTGCCATGGAACCAGAGGACACAGGAGCCTTCCACAGTGCAGTTATCTGCTAACCTGCCTCCCTGTCAACTCCTGTTCCATCTTTGCTGCTATTTTGGTCTTGGCCCTTTGGGACTCCAGACTCCTCAGAATGTCATGTCCAATACCAGGCTCTGTCCATGCTTTGTGTTTCTTGGTTGCTAACATCTCAGCAGTCACCCACTACTATGGTTGTGCTCCTGCTTCATATTACCAGCAGCTGACACCAAAGACCTCATTCTCTCAAAGCTTCTCACCAAAGATGCTTTCTCTCTCCTCCACTCTCACTCCATTTCTCCACAATTGCTCTGGCCACCACCATATCCCCCACCTTCCCACTGTC